TTTTTTTTTTTTTTTTTTGAGATAGTCTCACTATGTCACCCTCAGTAGAGTGCCATGGCATCATAGCTCACAGCAACCTCAGACTCTTGGGCTTAAGCGAGTCTCCTGCCTTAGCCTCCCAAGTAGCTGGGACTACAGGCACCTGCTACAATGCCTGGCTATTTTTGGTTGTAGATGTCATTGTTTGGCAGGCCTGGGCTGGGTTTGAACCTACTAGCTCCCATGTATGTGGCTGGTGCCCTAGTCACTGAGCTACAGGCACTGAGCCATGTCTCATTTTTTTTTTAAAAAAAGGATTACAGCCAGGCACGATGGCTCATGCCCATAATTCTAACACTTTGTAAGGGTGAGGCAGGTGGATTGCTTGAGCTCAAGAGTTCCAGAACAGCCTGAGCAAGAGCGAGACCCCCATCTCTACTAAAAACAGAAAAACTAGCCAGGCAGCATGGTGGGTGCCTGTAGTCCCACGTACTTGGGAGGCTGAGGCAAGACGATCATCTGAGTCCAAGAGTTTATGAGTTTGATGTGAGCTATGATCCCATGGCACTCTACCCAGGGTGAAGAGTGAGACTGTCAAAAAAAAAAAAAAAAAAAAAAAAAAAGACTGCAAGCTTAACTGCTAAAACTGAAAAACACGGAATAACATTTTGGGCTAGGCGAAGATTTCTTAGGATACAAAAAGTATGAAGTATAGGCTCAGCGCCTGTAGCACAGTGCTTACAGCACCAGCCACATATACTGAGGGTGGTGGGTTCAAACCTGGCCAGGACTAGCTAAACAACTAGAACAAAAAAAATAGACAGGCACCTGTAGTCCCAGCTACTTGGGAGGCTGAAGCAAGAGAACTGCTTAAGCCCAAGCATTTGAGGTTGCTGTGAGCTGTGAGGCCATGGTACTCTACCGAGGGCAACATAGTGAGATTCTGTCTCAAAAAAAAAAAAGTATGAAGTATAAAAGAAAAGTTGACTAATTGGATTTCACCAAAACTTTAAAGTTTGTTCTTTAAAAGATATTAATTATAAAAATGAAACAAGCAACAGATTGGGAAAAAATATCCACAAACAATATATCCAACAAAAGACTTAAAATTTTAAAAACAGTCCAGGTACTATGGCTCATGCCGGGCACTCTGGGAGACTGAGGCAAGAGGATCTTTTGTGCCGAGGAGTTGGAGGTTTCACTGCACTATGATGACACCACTGCACTCCAGCCACACAACAGAGCTAGATCCTATCTCAAAAACAATCAACTTAAAAAAAAATCTGGCTCAGCACCCATAGCACAGTGGTTATGGCATCAGCCACAGGGCGGCAGTTTGAACCTGGCCTGGGCCAGCTAGACACCAATGGCAACTGCAACAGAAAATACCCAGGTGTTGTGGCAGGCGCCTGCAGTCCCAGCTACTTGGGAGCCTGAGACAAGAGAATGAATAGCTTAATTCCAGGAGTTTGAAGTTGCTGTGAGCTGTAATGCCATGACACTCTATCAAGGGCGACATAGTGAGATTCTGTCTCAAAAAAAAAAAAAAGTCCAAAAAACCTTAAGCCTATTCTATCACACATACAAAAAAGCAAACAGATATGCTCACATGACATGCAATGGCTTGCACTCACTACACTGTGTACCATGTAGGTTGATTTTTAAAGAATGATGGTATGACAGACAATGCTGGTTTCCTACCTCATATCCATTGTTCTCTACTTCCTTACTAATAGAACCTCAACTGTATTGTTGGCAAGAAAACATGTCCAAGTAAAACACAGAATTCTTTTTTTTTTTTTTTGAGACGGAGCCTCAAGCTATCCCCCTGGGTAGAGTGCCATGGCATCACGCTCACAGCAACCTCCAACTCCTG